TTTATGAAAGATGCAACTAAAACAAAGAGATTTTGAGATAAATACTAATTTTGTCCAATTTAAATTTCAATTAAATATCTTTTATATAATAAATATTTTGTATTATGTATCAATATGATAATCTGAAGAATTTGAGTCTTTACATCGAGCCATCTCTTTTAGTGAGGATGTATAAATGCACTGTTCAAAAAGATATTGGAAAATAATTATATATCAAAATATATAACTATAATTAGAAAATAATTTAATATTTTTTAAATTGCTTCTGATATCTCTAAATTGATATTTTAAATTTATTTTTAGAATGTATTTATATATTTTGCGCAATATTTTAATTTTCAAAATCTCATAACTTTTATAATGTTATTTTTTCTAATTGTACAAAACAATGTAATTCAACATGGCGAACATGGCGAAAATATGAATTTTACTTTTCTATCTCGGTTGCAACTTTTTATATAAAAAACATATTTTCCTTTTTTCAAAACCGGAAAATCCAAAGAACGAATTCTTTTTGTAAAATTAAAAAAAGAGTTGATGATTTAAAATCGAAGGTGAATGAAGTATTAATAAAAAAGAAAGATAAAAGAATTAATTACTAAATAAATTTAATTTTAATATATATACAACATCGATAAAATTCTAACCTTTGAACATTAACATCTAATTCTTATATATATCATTAATCCTTTCTTCATATCTTTTTTTACTTCATTTCGTTTACCTTTGATTTCTTCTGGAAGAAGAATCGAACTCAAATATTATCTTTTATAATGCAATAATATACTGTACATGTTAAAATAAAATAACTAAATTATCTCGGAACGCGATTGCAAAGAATATCAATTTATTTTTCAATTTTTAGATTTAGAAAATCATGTTATTAATTTTATTTATATTAATTTTTTGCAGAAATTATACATTTTGTTAGAAACCATTAATAAATGATTTGATTTTTATATCTTGTAACAGTTAATATATTGAAAAATTGTCGGCAATAGTAAC